ATATAGCGCTTTTAACAATACAGATTGTTTCAAAGCAACTTTACGGTATTAAAGGTGGAGTAAGCGATTTTTCAAAAACGCTTTAGAAAACTGATTCGGACCGACTGGCAAAACAAACTTGTAGCCAATCAGCAGTAAGGGGCGTGTCTACTCGTGATGTGGAGGAGAGATCGTTCAGTGCACAGGACCGACATTAGCGAGCCAAGCGACAGAAAGATAGAGATGGCGGATAAAAAACAAAAGATGAAGAATAAGGCAAGATGTAAGACCCGTGTAACTATCGGATCAGCTTTCCAGCGCTGGAGAGAACTCAAGGAGCGGAAGGCCTGCGATCGGACGCCGAGGTTGCTTTGTTTCTTCTCGATAGGTGAGTAACACCGTGTCTGCGCCGCAACAGCTAAAGTCTGTCTAGTACACTGGACGCGACAAAGCGACCGTTGAATATCATTTGAAATTTGTGTCAATACGTCATGAATAGAACGCAGCAGCAGTTTTCTGTCAAGGATTTGTCGTGTCGTGCCGCACCACATCCAGTGTAGACCACAGATATGTATATATATCTATGGTGTAGACAGCATCACTGATTATAATGAGTTCCATAGTATTTTGTCACGCCGCGCCACTCGCGTCCAATGTAGACACAGTGTAACATTGGTTTTGCTTTGTTTCACAGAACTAATCATTGCCTGGGTTGCGTACATATGTGTGGGGCGGAGCTATCAAAATAGGGGCCAGACCCTTTTGGGGTAGGGGCGTGTTTGTTTTGGTGATTTCAAATGTCAACATTGGCTACCAGAAATCGCTTACCCCACCGTTAAATAGGAAAATAGTGTGTCAATAATGAACACTCAATTTTCAGTTAAAGGCAGTTCATCATTGAATTCAGTGATGTCATCATCCAGCTCAGTTAGCGACAGAAAGATAGAGATGGCGGATAAAAAACAAAAGATGAAGAATAAGGCAAGATGTAAGACCCGTGTAACTATCGGATCAGCTTTCCAGCGCTGGAGAGAACTCAAGGAGCGGAAGGCCTGCGATCGGACGCCGAGGTTGCTTTGTTTCTTCTCGATAGGTGAGTAACACCGTGTCTGCGCCGCAACAGCTAAAGTCTGTCTAGTACACTGGACGCGACAAAGCGACCGTTGAATATCATTTGAAATTTGTGTCAATACGTCATGAATAGAACGCAGCAGCAGTTTTCTGTCAAGGATTTGTCGTGTCGTGCCGCACCACATCCAGTGTAGACCACAGATATGTATATATATCTATGGTGTAGACAGCATCACTGATTATAATGAGTTCCATAGTATTTTGTCACGCCGCGCCACTCGCGTCCAATGTAGACACAGTGTAACATTGGTTTTGCTTTGTTTCACAGAACTAATCATTGCCTGGGTTGCGTACATATGTGTGGGGCGGAGCTATCAAAATAGGGGCCAGACCCTTTTGGGGTAGGGGCGTGTTTGTTTTGGTGATTTCAAATGTCAACATTGGCTACCAGAAATCGCTTACCCCACCGTTAAATAGGAAAATAGTGTGTCAATAATGAACACTCAATTTTCAGTTAAAGGCAGTTCATCATTGAATTCAGTGATGTCATCATCCAGCTCAGTTCAGTTTAAATAATATCTGTGCAATCAAGTCGACGATATCGCTGGAGATTAAGCGTTCCCAACTAAGCAAGCCAGAGGAACCTAAACTCCATTGGTGACAGAATGGAGAAAAAACCTTGGGAGAAACCAGGCTCAGTCGGGGGCAGTTCTACTCTGGCCAGACGAAACCAGCAGTTCAATTGACATTGAGAGCATAGGTCGTAATTTAGATATATTTTTGAGATGGAAAAATGCACTTTTACAAATGCTAGAAACGTGGCTTTCAAAGGAAAGATTGCTATCAAATAGCACACCTAGGTTCCTAACTGATGACGAGGAATTGACAGAGCAGCCATCGAGTGTTAGACAGTGTTCTAGGTTATTACATGCAGCGTTTTTAGGTCCGATAATTAAAACCTCAGTTTTTTCAGAATTTAGCAGTAAGAAATTACTCATACCAATTTACAAAACTAACGGAATGCATAGTCGATATAAAAAACTGGATGATGTTTCGCCGGGCCGCTTAGAAATATAGAGCTGAGTATCATCAGCATAACAGTGAAAGCTAACACCGTGTTTCCTGATGATATCTCCCAAGGGTAACATGTAAAGCGTGAAGAGTAACGGCCCTAGTACTGAGCCTTGAGGTACACCATACTGTACTTGTGATCGATATGATACCTCTTCATTCACTGCTACGAACTGATGGCAGTCAGATTAGTACGATTTGAACCATGCTAATGCACTTCCATTAATGCCAACAAAGTTTTCTAGTCTATTCAAAAGAATGTTGTGGTCAATAGTGTCGAACGCAGCGCTAACTCTAATGAGAGCAGTCTCAGTACTATGATACGGTCTAAATCCTGACTGGAAATCCTCACAGATACCATTTTTCTGTAAGAAGGAATAAAATTTGTGTGGATACCACCCTTTCTAGTATCTTGGACAGAAAAGGGAGATTCGAGATCGGTCTGTAATTATCTAGTTCTTTGGGGTCAAGTTGTGGTTTTTTGATGAGAGGCTTGATAACAGCCAGTTAGAAGGTTTTGTTGACATATCCTAATGACAATGATGAATTAATAATAGCCAGAAGAGGATCTATGACTTCTGGAAGCACCTCTTTCAGGAGCTTAGATGGAATAGGGTCTAACATACATGTTGTTGGTTCAGATGATTTAACAAGTTTATACAATTCTTCCTCTCCTATAGTAGAGAATGAGTGGAATTGTTCCTCAGGGGATCTATAGCACACTATCTGATGCGATACTGCAGCTGATAGTAACTATCTCTAATAGTATCGATCTTGGAAGTAAAGTAGTTCATAAAGTCATTACTGCTGTGCTGTTGGGAAATGTCAACACCTGTTGATGCTTTGTTTTTCGTTAATTTAGCCACTGTATTGAATAAATACCTGGGGTTATGTTTGTTTTCTTCTAAAAGAGACGAAAAGTAATTAGATCTAGCAGTTTTGAAT